ATTAAATTAAATTATATAAACAATTTGTTGTGCAATTCGAAACAGTCAAGTATTATTTTAAATAACTAACTTTTATTCCAAGAAAAAAAGGGGTATTTGTAGTTCTCATAAATGCATCTATTATTTCCTACGTCAATTTAACGATTCACTAAAGCTTCTACTATGAAAGCTAGAGAACTCAGAAAAATTTCAAGATAGATACATAAAGATCTGACACACGCGTTTAATAAACTGTACACATCGTACGTTACAAATTATTCTGGGTAACAGCATACGAATTAATTACCTAGTGACGTCCAATCTCGCCAATTCCTTTTCGAGATCAATTTCACGATAACGCTGTTATTCTCTCATTCACCGAGCAATGTCAACGCGTTCTATAACGTTATCTTGTATTATTAATTGATCCCCTTTTTTCCCCATATATAAAAGTGCATCGTGATAGCGGGCGGATACCCAGAGGTGTATTAAACGGGGTTAGGCGCGGTCACTGAATGCGACGTCCATAGTTCCCGGTCATCTTTATCAAAGAATACCTACCAACGATGATAGTTTTTTTTTGGCAACGACCGCTGGTCTTTGCATATGCGTAAGTAAATATTAGCGGAGGATGATGAGGGTCTCCGACCATTTCCCCCTTCTTTCTCCTCTCTCTTTTCACGTGGTCATTCTCACGTTGACCGCCTCCCCCGACCCGTTCATCCATTTCAGCTTCCGACGTCGCGACGTCATTCTGAAACGCTGTCTTTACCTGCGCGCTCTCTCCGGTCACTCTCTCAGAACCCCTATCAAAAACCTCTCTCTGATATTACCTTCATTCAAACAGATATCCACGGACTAAGTCCCTTCTTACGCCCGGGGCTAAAAATCTCCGGTGCTCGCCTCCGTCTTCCAACCGAATCCGCAGTCCGCATCGTGAGCGTCTCGCGAATACCGTGCATTCATCGGACACGTGTTCGGGTTGAGAATAATTGGAGTTCGCCCGCGTCGAAAAGTAATCTGACATTTTAACTGGATAATTCTGCGACATGTCGTCCCGAAGATTGACGTTTCGAAAATTTAAAGAATACGTTAAAAGCAATTATAGACAATATAATTCTGATAAATTTTGTTTCTTGCAAACTTGAGAAGAGTGGGAGAAAATACTTTCCGGGATATTATATATGAAATTGCGCGTTAAAGTGGAAAATGAGAAACAGAATTTCAATTAACGAACGTTTTTAACGAACGCGTTATTGACAAGTGACAAACGATATTTGAGAGAACTGGAATAAAATTTCAGCACGAATTTATTCTGTACGTTAGAGTCGTTTGATCTCAGCGAAACGGACCGTGTCATGCGAGGTGAACTGCTATTCCGGCCATAGGGAAGGAAATACAAGATGCAAGAAAAGAATTTCCTGAACGCAATATGAAATTTCATGAACGTTTACCAAATAGATTTACATTATTATTGTTCAACAGGAACAAATTGTACGCATATTTACGTATATAAACGCTGAAGGGAGTACTTATCGAATAATTTATATTCCGTATGAAATAATTTATATTCCAAACGTATTAATTAATTAAATAGAAAATCGAGGACGAGAGATAAAACACGAAGTTTTGCTTCGCGTATCTGTTTCACACGCACACAATGGACATTGTCATATGTAAGATGAAAATTTCATCGAAAATTTTATGTCCCTTTTAGGTGGCCATTTTGTCTCACCCTGTTTTTTTTATACCTTCTTTACGTCCAACTACTGCTTCCTACGTGTTTTTATTTTCTTCTGAGTTAACAAAGTAAACATTATCAGCGTAAAAGGTAGAAAGTTTTTTATCTATAATTATTCCCCATATTAAAGCCAACACAATGAAAGCTTTGTTACATTAATGAGCCTCGGGTATACTTCAAAATATCGACGTAAATAAACATTTCGAATAAACATATCTCGCTCACCAAAAATCAACAGAATTTTCAAATATTTCAAATACAACCAAAACACTCGCAAATTTTCATACAAATTTGCACGTTCACAAGTATTCTTACGGTGTTCGGATTCCTTTGAACGTTGAAAAGTGGAGGGAAATTCGACGGGGATCGGGATAGGTAACGAAACCGCGAAACGTGAAAGTGTTCGTTACGCGTTCGGGAGTAAGCCGGCAAAGCGTTCGAGGGTTGATCGTTCCGGGATCTGATTAGAAAAATAAAAAGAGTGAAAGAGAAAGGGGGAGAGAGGTGGCCGCGGTTCGCATGAATTCGCTTATCTCGGAGTTCAACTAATTGTACGAGTTTACATCGGCGGCACGGCGTGATCACGTCGATTAACGAACAGCTTTCGGAGATACACGACACGCTGCAAACTGTGCAGCGGCAGTAGGTCGGCGCATGCAAAGCTCTATCGCTGATCCCAATCTCCTCCTTTGACGAGGATGTGTGATCGAGTACAGTCCAAAATTAACACCGCGCCACAGGAGCACGAGCGAGGCAACACAGCGTCACGAACAACACAGGGATCCAGTTGATTCGCTCCTTTGGTATACGCGTTCTCGGACTTGTCTTTCAAACTGGGTCAAAAATATATTTAATTCAACTGCCATTGATATGCCATACGCCTGTATGTCTATGATTGGTATGCTTTGACATGCACTGTATTGGAGATTATTGTATATAATTGATACGACGTAATGCTGTATTAATCACGAGTATTGACTCAAGTTGATTGACTCATTAACCCTCGGATAGGGCGATTCGTGCACGAGAGTAAAAATGATAATACTAAACCCTTTTCGATTACTACGATCTGAGGGACTGACACATTCGATGGAAAGAAACATCTAATATAAGAATTTGCTTCCAAAGAGACACAACAGGTGACAGATCTTGTCGGAATTTCTGAAGACGGAGTAAAATTTGAAATTTTAGTCGTTGATTTTTCTAGCTTGAAACTTTTGATGGTCACGTTATACGTATCTTTAAAGGAACGATGTCAAGTGCTGCTTTCGCTCGTCGTTGAATATGTTCGTATCGTAATTTGTATATTTGGCACTCGAGTTTCATATCAGCCTTCGATAATCGTTACCCTTCGTTCACCTCTTTGCCACGCCGATTTTATATGAATTTTCAACGAATCAAGTGTGCATAACATCGATTCCTGATTGTAAATAAAGTGTCTCGAAGAAATAATCCAATTATCTAAGAACGCCGCGCAATATCGGGCATGCGTGAAAACATAATGAAAATAAACGTTCAAGGTTCAAATGAAATTTAAACTCGAGATAAAGGACGTCTCCATTAATTTCTTCAATTTCCTTAAATTCTCTAAAACAAATTCACATCGATCGATCGTTGCGCAAATGCGTTTCGCTGTTCTTAAAAAGATGTTACAAAAATAATTTTCCCCAATCTAATTTCTGACTGTAAATAAAGTACCTTGAGAAAATAATTTAATTACTAAGAATCAAACGTCGACATATGGAGTGAAAACGGACAAAATAAACATTCAAGGTTTCAGATGAAAATGAAAGGATAATTACATCTGTAATTAATTCCTTCGATCCTTTCAAATTCTCTGGAAAGAAATTTCCTCCTTTGAAAAGAAACTCACCTTAATTAATCGTTACGCAAATTTTTTTCTACCGCTGTCAAACGAAAATAATTTCCTCCGACCAAACAGAAATACCTATGTGCCAACTCTGCGCCGCGTTTCTCGAAAATGAAAAAACCGAAATAACCACGAGAGAACGAGTTTAAAGAGGACGCGATGAAAGAAAGAAAGAAAGAAAGAAAGAAGGACAGAGGCACGCGAAAGACAGCAGGGGTAGGGGAGAGAGAGAGAAAAGGGAAAAAAAGGGTCGAGAAAGAAAAAGAAGGATAAAAGAAGGAATGCGAGTTATTAGCGTGAGAGTGGAAAGCGATGCTCGTAGGTGCGCGCGACGGAATACATACGAGATCACCGGGTAGTTAGCGTATCAGTCGAGAGCGCGTCCACGTGTCGTCATCAGAATCGAGTGGCTCATTGTTAATTCACACACCGTCACCTAGGTTTCTCGGCGATTATGAAGAAAACTAGGTGAATTGATAACAACGGTACGGGAGGAACACGATTCATCCCTGTACGCGGACGTCGAAGGGCGCCGGACACTGGTGCGCAAGCGTCTCACAGCGTGGAACGAGGTTGACGACGCTCGCACGGAACCGCGACGCTGACGGCGCTCACTTGAATTCTCGCCGCGTGTCCGTTGGCCGACTCGCCGCCCCGTCGAGTACCGTTTCGGAGCCGAGTTTGAAACGCGACGGAGCCGGAAGTCGCGCGCTTCCGCCACTCCGATCCTCCAGCCGCGCGGGATCGACATGTCTTTTTAGATAGATAGATAGATAAGAGACCGACTCCTTCGGATCGCGTTACACTCGATTATCTATTCCCAGTAGTATCGTGGCTCGGTATCCTTCATAATCTACTTCCATCCAAGTCGAGCCACGCCAGCCTTCTTCGTACACTTGCTCTCTATCTCGGAGTTATGTGGTGCGCGGGTGACGAGAAAAGACAGTGGGAATCCTTGGAAACGAATATGTTGCACTCGCGCTCGGTGCGCGTATTTTATCAATCCGTACGATCCGAGTCACTGGTAATGCTACTTTATTGGTAGAGGGGTATTTCGAACGTCGATACACCGAGCAGCGACGACGTACAGAAATCGACGAGAGATCTCTGGTCAGGGTATCTTGACAATAAACAGAGTGAAATTTTACAGATTTATTAATCGAGGATTTCATTCATTTAAGAGATTCTGACCAACCTCTGTTCCAACCACTGTACAATCTTCGAACCAATCATTCTGGCTGAAGTGAATTCTGAAGTGAATTCGATCAAGTGATGGAACGTTTCGTTTCCGGATTACTCGTTAACCGGGCAGACAGTCGATTTTGGTGATACTTGTGTCGTTTCGTTAACGTCGGCGACGAATCGATTTTCACGAATTAACGAAAGAAAAAGAAAAAAAAAAAATCGAGTTTCTCTCGACGATGACATCGTCCGTGGATTGCTGAGCAGCAACGTGACGATTCTGTACCGATCCGGAAGTAACGGAAGATGAAACTAAGAACTTAGGCAGGCATGACGAAGTGGAACATCGAGAATTGAAGTTTCGGGGATTTATATGGCCTAGTTCGGCGCGATCCTCCTCTCCAAGGATACACGAGGTACGTTACCTATTACTTGTTGCCTTTTTCTACTCTATTTGCTCCCGCGTTACAAATTTCTCGCACCTTGCGCCTTGATTTCCTCGTCGCTGTTCATCCATCAAAACCACCACCTTGCGATGTAATCTGCGCTTCGTAGAATATGATCCAATAGAATACGGATTGGACAGGAATCGATGTTGCAGCGATAAATTAATGACGTTCACAATGATTTGGAGGTTCATATGTTACTTTTCAGTAAAATATCATCAGTCCTCTATAATCCATATTAATGATTTCAATTTCATTATGCTTCATTTGCAACCGATAAGAGAGATAACGGGCCAGCTTTGTATCAACAATTTGTCATCGAAATTTATTCGCAGATGAAAAACCGTTTCCTCGCGAAAGCCGCTCTCTGCCGAGAATTCAATTAGTTTAATTTATTTACGAGACGTTAAAAACTTCGTTGAAAAAAAAAAAAAAAAGAACAGACGCGTGCGAATTCGACGCTCGATTCAATTTCACCCGGAGTATTGTTCCCGGCTTTCGCAATTTTTCCGCACTCTTTTTCTTCCCCACCTCGTGAAGCGACGAACGCCACATCGTAGACGCTTTGCCTGCACTGCGTGTGATTGCAATCCGGATCGATTATCGAAAAAAATTATATATTCCAACGATCGTGCTTTGTTTAACGAAAATGTAAATTCGTCGGCGGAGTCGCGGCGAAATGGCCGCGCGGAGGATTCTTTCGCTCGAAATGAAACGAAACGAAACGAAAATATCGCGATTCAGATTCAAAAATCATCGATTCGCTTCACGCTGGATAAAAAAAAAAAAAAAAGGAAACCGATTCCCAGTGGTACCAACCGTAATGTGAATAGATCCAGAGCCGTTTATTCCACTCAACCAAGCGGCACTCAAACTATGACTGACAGGCTTAGAATCGGTGAAAGGGACAGCGCGACAAAGAAAGAAGAATATGCCATTCTACGTTTGGCATCGATGACTATATCGATGTTGCGAGTTTACTTCAGAGGATGAGCATTATACGTGTATAGAAAATAATCGAACACAATTTTGACAACAAGCTGTAGCTTGCTAATGCACCAATATCGTTTCGAATCGATTATTTGATAGAATGTAAATAAACAAATTGAATATCGGAGCGAATTTCTCGGTTCCAAATTTTTAGAGAGTGATTACAACAAGAAATTGTTGCATGTTATTGCAACGTTATATTACAAACGATACAATAACGTATGATTGAAAGGGTTTGATAAATCGTAATGCAATAATACAATACAATACATTTGCATATTGTGTGTACAATTGATTCACATGTACACGTAATATAAAAATATTCATCTTCATTAATAAAGAGTGGTTTATATTCTGATAAAGGCCCCATAATGATATTTTTAGAAGGGATCTTTATAAATATGTACGTAAGACGCAGTTAGAATGCGGAAGTGGTAAAATGTATGCAGAACTCCATCAATCAAGGTGAATATTTAATTTCAGTTTTGTTTTGACCACGTAACTGATATCACAGACTTTCGCTTTTCAATTAGGAATCTATAGAAAGCTGTTGAAACTTGGTGGCAAATGAAATTTATTTTCTAAACTCGCCATTTTTCCACGAGAATCGAGAGATTCGTTTGATAGCGAACGCAAAATGATTCCAGAGTTCTGTGTTAGAACTTGTACTTCTAAAGGACAATCGATAAATATCGATTAGTTAATTCTTCGCGAACAGAGAGGAAGGTGTATATTTGTATTATCCTGTCATGGTCACCTATCGTTCAAAGAGCGATATAGGCCGAAATTATTCCGACTAACGATGCTGAAAATTAATATTATCCGAGGAGCATTATGGAGTGTAAAGTTTCGTAAAGTGTAATGAAGCAACGTCGACTATGAAAGCAAACGGAACTTTTTCCCTGTGTGTACATTTTATCGAAACGTAGGGCAGAAATAGATTTCAAGGATGTTAACGCAAATTCTCTATTTCGTTCGAATGCTTACACAATTTCTCTCGTTTGCCTGTTAATTTATCGTGGTTGTAGCGTACAGCGACAGCAAAATTCAATTGTAAATCCAGACGAGTTGATTATTTGAAAAATAAACGAAAAGTTCGTGGGGAATGAAAAATACGTGGCGCAGCTTTTTTAAAAATTCACAGCCCCGCGTAACGTGCAGTGATCACGCTGTCTACGAAAATAAATAGAAGAGGAGAATGTGTCGAGGGCTACAGTATATTGCGCGCGATACTATGTAATAACCACATTTAATAACACAAGTAAATAATCAATAGCGATTTAATTATATAATGACAGTCGATACGACATCCTCGTAAAATTATTAATAACCAAACGGAACCTGATGTAACGCAGCGTATTAATTTAGTTCTAATGCTACTCAAATAATTGATTCGGTGTATTTCAACGTCGCTGATCTGTCCAGTATCGTGCTCAAATTACGGTTAGAGAGTCTGTAAAATTAAAAACATCATACCACAGTTTTTAATCTAATTTAATTTTAATTTTCTAGTTAATAAGTCGTATTTTCAATTCGTCGTGTTTATATCTCACGCGTTTACGAATACCAAATTTAAGTAGAGCAGTTCTCCTTAAAAAATTCTTTTTTCAACTAGCATATAAAATATATTTGTAGGAAAACGTTTCGAAATTAATGAACAGGTTGAAACGTTCATTCCGTGAAATATTTCTATTTGAAGTTCTGTAATAAATGTCTCAATAAATCGGCGAGTTGTTATCAGAATTTTATCGGATGAATTCAGTCAAATCCACTTAACGCACCTGGGAGTTGCCGAGAAAATATTCTGGATAAATAGTTAGGGGCCACCGCAATATATCACGAAGAACGACGAATCACATTTTGCGAAAGAGCTGATAAAGTGCACGACAGGTTACGAGCACACGCCACCCTTCTTGAATTTGTGTTTAACTTAATACGGAAAACCCGTCACGAACATCTTGAGTAGTAAGAAATAAGAGCGAAAATTTCACTCTTAGAATATTTTCGACGTAACGTTTCTGCGTGCTTCCCCGCGGACTTTTACGAGCATAGTCAGTTCGAAATAATTGCTCACCTCCGCACGCAACGTTTATGGAAATACGTACAAATTTTACGATTCCAAATTAATTAGAACGTTAACTGTGAAATATGTAATCGTAGGTAATCATGGAATATTTATCATTCTTATCAATTTAACATCGTTATCGAGATAATTATTGCTACTTTCAAAGTGCAATTAACGTCCGATAGTAAGGTCAAAGTAACCTTCTTCGCTTTTTTTTTCTTCTTCTTTTCTCGTTATTTTCATTGACTACGGCCAAAGTGATATTAACTTCATTTGATTGATATTGGTTCGTTTAAATTATCTCAAGGAACAGATTACGACGATCCGATGAACGAAATACAACAGACACGATAAGTCACGTTTTCTTCCTCCGGATTTCATTCCGATTGAATATTGAAGTGCACGGTCAAGTATCTGGTCGAATCAATGTAAATCAAATGTTGAATTTATTTATCCTATCGGAGGACTGATTTTTCACAAAAGTATTCCCTCTAGTATGCCTCTAACAATTCTCGGCATTCATCTGCTGACGTCACGGCCCCGTGTAAATCCGTATTTCTTCCCATTCGAGTGGAAAACTTTAATAAATAACAATAATCACGGTGCGGTAGTTTATTGGAAACTATTAATTTCAAACGAGGGCTCGTAATTTTAGCGTACAAAAGGAAACAATGTGACGTCAATGAGAACTTTTATAAACTGAAAAAAATGAAATGAAACGCGCCACGTCACTGTTTGCGAAAAATGTTAAACGCTTAATTAACATTTGCTTCGGATGTCTGTATGAGAAATATGTCTGTCTTTGGACGAATACTGAGAATACACATGTGACTACTAATTTTTGTGCTACTTGATGGCTAATTGAAAGGAAGACGTATTAAATTCAAAGTTGTAACGATCAATATTTTGTCCAAGCAAATAATAAATATATCAGACTGTTGGTAAAAAGTCGATTGGCAAACAAATTAAAATTAACTCATTTTTTTTTCTCTTTTACGCTTTTCGTGTTTAAAAATACACGAACATTCGCAATTTAATTGTCACCTTAAAATCGTGAGTAGCAACAAGTAGTAACAGTGTCACAGAGATGTAAATGTGTATTCTATTACATAAATGAGACACGTGTTCAACATTGTACAGAGGAACAAAATCAAATGCTATTTCATCGGTCACTAAAACACGCACGAAACTATTCCAGAGCAATATTCTCTGTCGTTTTACAAAATCGTTGTTTCTTAACCGCAGCGAGTTTAATTACACTCACACACTCTTGAATAAACCAATTTGTGCGCAGCGAGCGCGATAGATTGAAATAGAAGATAACTGTGTAAAAAAAATTGTTGTTTCATTTTTAGCCGAACGAGGAACGCGAGAATCACAAAAAGATCAGAAACTGTATTGGGCCGTGATTCTCAAGTGAGAAACATACGTTTGCCAAGACATTTCTCACTTTTAATGTCAAGTTAACGATTTATAAATATTTACTTTCAATATTTTGTTTGATTCTTCGAAATATTAGCTCGAACTATTAATTTTGTTTCCTTTTTTCCTTTTAACGCAGACGGATTTTAAAATAAATCAATAAAATATTAGTATTTTTTTGTATGCAAAATAATATATAAGTTCCATGTATATATAATAAATTTTTTGATAAATGAACAATTCATATTGAATTTACAAATGCTTTAATAGTTATCATTTACTCATTTGGAAATATGCTTCGTGCCATGAATATAATTTTTTTTTTTTAAAGGAATTTAAAACGAATCGTAATTTATGATTGACAAATCTGTTAATGTTTGACAAACAACAACAATTACAAAAAATACTGTTCTCTGGATCTCGATGCTGTTAATTAATTCCCATGACAATCGTACTCTATTGTAACCATTTTGTTCGTATGAAATCGTGTCAT